CTTCTGACATTTTGAAAGTCCCTTAAGACCTGGCTATATAATTAGGCCTGGGACTCCCAGGGAACCAGAAACATGCTCAAATGCCAACTTCTATTCTTCCTTTGACAAGGGTTTGTATTTGTTTTAATAATACTTATATTTTAATCTGAATTATTTCTTGTTTTTAATACTTATTGATTGTTGTATGCTACCTAGAGTTGTATTTTCTGAAATGGGCAGCTATACAAATGAAAATAAATAAAAATAAAAAATACATCCAACTGAAATTTAAAAAGTCCCACCCAAAAGATATTATAATTTGTATACCATAGCCTGCAACAGATGATTCTATATGATGAGATGTAAATTAGGGATAATCAATCAATATACAATCCCCAAAGTATAGCTGTCTTAATTGTGCGCTACGCTAATGCCTGCTACCCAGAGCATGGTGAAGTATGGCTACTGCCTCATTCTGATCGAGTACAGAAGAAGTACTTGATCATAAATGACTAATATGGGATGATGAATTTCTACAAATTTCTTGGTAACTACCTTGTGTAGGTTTTAAGTAACAGATGCAATAATATACCTTTACAAACTAGTTGCCTAATATTGATATATTGAAACATATTATTCCCAAAGCATTTCATATGAACTCATATTTATACCTATCAGGATGGCATGCTTCAACTAAATGAGAAGTGTGTGATATATTTCAAGCTATGGGCTACAGATAACTTTCAAGAAGAGTGCAGTGGCTTGAAATCTGAAAGATCACGAAGCAAAGAAAAAAGTATAATGTAATTATAAATTAATTGGTATTTAATTAGTTAATAATTCTTTTCTACTTCTTTAATCATATTCCCTTTCTATCATATTCAAATTGTAATTCAGTGACAATTTGATTCTAAGCCCAGAAATTGTACATATCTATGCCAAAAAAGGAAAAATTTTGTTGCTCAAGTAAACATTTTGTTAAACTTATTCTTTTCTATACCTTGTAGTAGCAAAGATAAGCTTCAAAATATACACACAAATGCTTCAAAGAAAGTTGATGGTTTCCAATTAATCAAGGCAGGTATCTTTAACATAAATGCCTTCACATCATCCATAATGGAAATAGAGCAAACAATCTATTTAAAACAACAAAACCAAGTTTTAGCCAAATACATGTACCCACTTCAAATTAACTGCTCTTTCAGTTCTTACTTTTTTATGTACAATTAACAGCAACATGTCAGAGGTTTCTTTGCAGAAATGTTGTAGATACAAAAAAGGCTCTTAGGCAAGATTATTTTTTCTCTTAACTAAAGTTCTATTTTGCAAGCTTTTAAAATAGTTTTTTATTTTAGAACAGAAGGTGAGTTTTTTTTTAAAGGATTGCTACATGTAATTTTAGGTTTTCTAATTGAATGGTGTATTTCATTTTCACAATTTTTAAAGCATACAATATTCCAAATCTATAAATAGTTGCTGAAACAATTGTCTCTTTGAAAAATAGAATATTTGCAATACTTTGCTGAAATGTAATATCAGGGAGAAATCAACAACTATGCAACCGCTTATATACATCTTAGAATTATGTTTCTCAAATATCTAATCCCCAACCCCCAGTCCATGGCATAACACTAATGCAAACAAGTGAAACCCCATCTGCAGGATGGAGACAATACGCAAAACCCACATCCCCTATAGTCCACAGAAAAACCTTTCTCCATGGAACCAGTCCCTGGTACCCAAAAGGTTGGGGGCTATTGCCCTATGTCACACTGCAACATATTTTTGATACTATAGACTTCTACTAATTCAAAGTAAATTTCTTATTCCAGTTCTTAAGCATACTTAAACTAATGTAATACTTTCAATTGCAGCAAAAATGCATGAAACCTAATTACGTAGTAGACACAAAACTATTATGAAAGGCTTGTTTTGAAATGTTAAAATTATTGGAAATTAGCTAGTCATACTTCTTTGTTAAAGTATCAAAACAGGAATTTTACAATTTTCTTACTTCTTTTAACAAACTCACAACAAATTGTTTTAGCAATTATTTAACACTGCAAAATTATTTTTTTGCCAGGTACCAGCGACTAATACCCAAACGATGTATAGTAGTCTTGAATGCATAATTCAGTATATGAGAACAAATACATATTTCTTTCACAAAACCACATAATACTGACAAATGTTTGTTTTTTTAATACATTATACAATCACACATCTTTTAGCAACATCAGTCACTTTCACAAAAATAATCTTAAAGTAGTAGCCCTGATATCTATTTCCCATCTTTTTAAAGAGAGAGAAAGATGAATTCAAGTTGCTAGATCTCAAATCCCATGCCCATTCTCAACCCAGCAATCAAATTTTGTAATCTCTAAATTATTGGCTTAGCAGTATATTGATATAGGCCCAGGATATAAATTAGGCACAGAAATGGCATACACAATTTTAGAAGACCCTTCTTACCCTAATCACATTCTTGGCATACATTACATGTTTAGAACTTAGAATCTGCCAGGGACCATTTTAGTAACTATAGATCTTGGACTGCCATTAAATCCTAAGCACCAACTGTTTTTCAATCCTGGTGTGCATCAGAAACAAGGTTGTTTCTATTGATTAAAAAAGGGAGACTGGAGCCAGGAATATCTAGCCAAACTTAATATTAGCCCAATGGTAATGTGATGTGGGATATTTGTAAAGACCACTCAGCCAAATTAATTTCTGAACTACAGTCAAGCAAATTTAATAGTACTAATGCTCAATAAGCATGTCTAATGTGCACACATAGATGATTTACTACATTTCTCACTTTGATCAAAGTTATAGCTTTTCTCAATCTAGCGTCATTTATATATACTAGGATTATAGTTCTTTGGAGTTTCAACTAGCAATATCATCGCACACATATATCAGCCTGCAGCAGAATGCATTTATAATAAACCTTACAAAGCCTTTCCAAAAAAGTTTTGTGTATTAAATGTCCCTATGTAATCTCAGCTTACAGTCAATTTCATATGGTCCCTTGAAAGCACATTAAATATTCCTGTGCCTTACTCTACAGGAAGTATAACTTTATCCCTACACTGTAATGTCCCAAGTAATGTCTTGAAGAAGCTTCTTGGATGAGAAGCGAAACATCTTCAAAGAAAAACAAGGAAGTTCAATTGCCTCTTGAAAAAGCACCTTTGTGACAACTGTGACCTGGATGACTGAGAATCTCCATAGACACCCTATACTGTAACCACTTAGAATTCCTAGTGACAGCTAGGGACATTCTCCAAAATCACTAGTGAAAAAAGTATTAAACACAAAAGATATGCTCCTGAACCTTTAAAAATTCACCTATAATTTGCCAGCAAATTTTCTAACCATTATTATTAATTGCGTTTGCATTTTCAGCATTAGTATGAAAAACTGTAAATATAAATAATAATTTCATCATTCAGTGAAATTATGGTAATGTTAAAATTGTAAAATAATTTATGCTGTATTTCCTTAAAATAGAAAGTATGTGTGGAGTATGTTAATATAACATTATCCTATGAAGACTAAAATAGACTGATGCGTAATTAGACGTGGAAATTCAAGTAATTACAATCAGGGGGAAAAAGCTGCTCTGCAGCTTCATTTTTTTTTTCTGTTCAATTGTGTCCAATTCTCAAACTGCCTGGACAAGTTCTTGCAGTTTTCTTGACAAGATTTTTTAGAAGTGTCTTGCCACTGCCTCTTCCTTAAGGCTGAGAGAAAGTGACTGGTTCAAGATAACCCAGCTAAAGGGTGCCTCAGGCAGCAGAACTCACAATCTCCCAGTTTCTAGTTTGATACCTTAACCACACCAAACTGTCACTTGCAGCTTAAATACCTAGATTCATATTCAATCTTTGTCAATAGCTCTTAAAAAATTAATATACAGCTTTCTGATATCCAAAACCAATCAATGAAAAGTTAACAGATACAAAAAAAAAGGTGCTTTGGGTTTCTTTGTCATTGAGTCAGATTCAGTAGTCCTAACTACCAAAGTCCTAGCTGCAAATGATACCTAAGTTTACACAGTACATTTAACGGAACGTACTCCTTTTCTGTGTATGAACAGGTTTGTACATTTAATGTTTAAAGTTTAGAAAACAAAATTCCCCATGAACGATCTGCTATATTATCTCAGATATCATCCTGATTCATTATTACAATAATTCCGCTGTGATAAAGCACACAGACTTAAGCTCATAACAATGTACACATGTGGCTGGTACAAATTTTAATGCATGTCTACAGTTTTAAGAGAACGCTTAGAATTAAACATTATTTCAGATTTCATATTAAGTTTACAATATTTGACATGGATCTTTTAGAAATATTTTCCGGAGAGAAATAATTATACACCAGAGAGAAATCTTTTTTCTACTATATAAAGCAATACATTGTCAATGTCACTGGGATACTGATAACAAAGGCAGGACTCCTTTCTAGTCAGCAAAATTAAGAAGTGTTGTCCTAGAAAGCAATACATGGACATATCTGCTCTTACTTTAGATCTATTACACTGCAGTTTAAAAGCAAATCCTGTTGTACTAACTTTGAATAAAGAACTGGCCTTCTCATTCAAGTTAAAAGAGAATGATGGAGAACAAAATGGAGTTTTCATATCCAGGAATTGGAGATGTTCATCCTGTACTACAAAGCTTGCGGAAATGATCGTACACGAATAATCTGGGCTTTAAATGAAGGCTATTTCTAAAGTTAACTTCTCTGAGAACCGGCCCGATCTCCTTTTTCAAAATAAAACAGGGATTCAGGCCCTTTCGAGAAGGCAAAGCGGGGATATCAGACTCCAGGCCCGAGATGCTGGAACCTTTCCTTCCTTCCTACCAATATCACAGGCCCCGCTGTGTGAATCGAGGGCAGGGTGAGGACTCGGGGCTCCAGGAAGGAAAGGGAGGGGGGGAGAATAATGGGCGCCAAGGACGCCAATGGTTTGGGCTTCAAGGGGGAGACTTTTCCCCAGCCTTTCTGACCTGTCCCTGGGGTCGATCCACGAAGTCTGCCGGGTGTTGTGGTCGATGTAAAAGACGCGTCCGTCATAGTCCCTCGCCTCCTCCCAACCAGCGGGCAAAGGCAACTCCGAGCTCTCCCGGCCCCGCGGCCCACTGCCGCCGCCGCCGCCTCCGATCGCCGCAGCGGGCACGACAGGAGGCGGCCCCGTCCCTGGTCCTCCGGGCGCCGTCGTCGGTGCCGCCTGTTGCTGCTGCTGTTGCTGCCGCCGCCGTCTCCGTCCTCCGCTGAGCCACGGCATGGCTCCACCGCCGCTCCCGGGCCGCAGCCTCGGCGGTAAGTTCTCTCCCTCCAGCAGCCGCTCTTCGGCCGCGGGGCTCCGAGTGCTCCGCGCCGCCGCCTCCAGACCTGACTAGCGCGCGGCCCAGCCGCGTGAGGCCACAACCAAGCAGGTCCGGCTGCAGCAGCGCCGCCGCCGCTCCGGATTCACCATTCTCTCGCCCTCCCGCCTCCGCCTCCGGCCGGACCCCGGGACCAGCCCAGCCGCTGCCGCCGCCGCCTCAGCTGTTCCTTCAAAGCAGCTCTGGCCCCGTCCGAGGAAGCAGCAGCCACCGCAAGCTTCCCGCCCTTCCTTCCTTCCTGCCTCCGCGACCGGCCTCCCCTAGCGGCTCAATTTCGCAGTTTCGTCGGCTCCCATCCCGCCGGCGCCCGCCCCGCCATCTTCCTTCGCTCCCTCCCTTTTGCCCGAGAACCACACCACCTCCCCCCCTCTCCCCCCGCCTGTCCGCCTCCACTCCGCCCTTCTGCTGCTGAGGCTGCGGCTGTAGCGTCGGGAGGCCCGCTTGGAAGCCGTCTGGGTTTCCCGGACAAGCCGGCGGGCTGGGGAGGCTCCCTCGGAAGAAAAAAGTTAAGGGAGGGGAATGAAAACTTTACTCGAGTCTCTCCTAACTTCGGCCTTGGGACCGCAGCGATTACTGACGGACGGGACTTTTTTTAAAAATGAGAGGCTCCGGGTTTCCTTTCAGGACAAAGGAAAAACGGAGCGGTTGTTAAATAACTCGCTTTCCTGGCTGTGTGTGCAAGCGGGGATACATTTTTGAACCCAACAAAATATTGTCACCCTCTTAGTCGAAGGGTCTACCCTATATAAGTCACGTGGAAAGAGTGCAGCTAACGAGTCCGACTGGTTTAAGGTGTGGTGCGCTTCAGATATACTGAAGGTAAAATATGCCGAAGATCTGAACGTGGAACTGTGGAACATGCAAAAGTCACTTCAGTTAGGATAAACTCAAGTTAGGATATCCTTTACTGCGGAGGCATTTTACATTACATTACATTTTCAGCATATTTAGCCGTCAGTCAGTTCAGTGGAATTTATGGTATTTTAAGTCGGCGCCTAACAATGAAATTGCTACAGGAGCTGCTCTCACTTTTATTTCTTGGAAGCTCATTGGTTGTTCCTTTTTGGGAAGGCAACTTGGTTAAATGCATAGTGGATTTAATCCCCTTCTCTTGTCTTAATAACTGGTTTTAAAGTGGAACTAGTTCTTTAACAATCCTGGCCTTTGCTAAAGAAATTAGGCTGAATTTGTTTTTCTGAGGGTGAAAAAGTAATAAAAGTTTCCTCCTGTGTAACAGTATTTCTAAAGTATTGTATTTTCACACAGCCAGAAATTATTATTTAACTATTAATTATTTAAGTATAAAGTTATAAGTTGAATACATATAAACAATTGCATACAGTAATTGCTCCTAATTCAGTAGTACACAAATAATTGCTTGACAGGTAAAGTATTGGGATACTCCAACCTTTTTTAAAAAATACAATTCCAAACGTGTGTGTGTTTTTGTCTGTCTGTCTGACTGTCTAATACAGTATAGATTTCCTAACAATGATCTCTATCTCTCTTCCTTTTCCTGGGACATTTTAAGGCAAAATGCATTTTCCCAGTCTTTTTCCCATATAAGTAATAATGCAGGGAACCCCAAACAGTGTTAGAGCCAAGGAAATTGTAGACAGGAAGTTTGGCTTATTTTTTTCCCCTTTCTCTCTAAGTATACAATACATGAATTTCACGGGAAGCTTCTATTGATAATGACAAGGTTTTTTTATTTAATTGTATTAAATACATTATACCGGTATGTATGTGTATTTTATTTAATTACATTACATGTATCTTTATACAGGCATCCTTGTTTAGCAACTGTTCACTATTTCAGTGGTGATGAAAAAACAATTTTATGACCAATCCTCACATTTACAACCCTTGTCGTAAAAACCCTTCTGTAAAGCAAAGGAAAGTTAAAGTAAGATTCGTAAGTACAGTTGAAATGTCATATAGCCACACTTTAATGACTGAATTAAATAAATAAATAGTTGCTAAATGAGGACTGCCTATATGCTGTTTGGATGAATATTAAATAATGATTTGTCCACATATGTTGTAAAAGAAAGCTTATCTGGGATGTTCTTACTTTTTCACATGACTGTAAAATCTGTTCCATTTTTATGTTAAGTTTTACATAATTCAAAATTTTAAAACTATATATAATTATATTTATGACTCATTTCTACATACTGCAGGATAATTTGAGCAGAATGCATGTGTTATGAATTACCTCTTTACATGTTGTAATTTCAGGAACACAGATCAATAATTCTGGATAAAGAATGCCATTGAAACCATGCAGAAGAAGGTAGATGTTCACTGAAGAAATTAGAAGACATTTCATTCTAGTTCTCTAATGACTCTCTGATCTGTAATGTCATTATATAGTGCTTCCATATCATTGTCATTAATGAAAATGTTGAAGGGGTTGAATCTTACAAAATCACATTTAATACATCACCACTTTCATGAAAACTCTTGACAAACATTGTGATTTGAAGCCAACTCTGTATCTATTTGTCATGTTATCCAGTACATGCTTAACTAGTTTACAAATCAAAATGTCACGTGTTACTGTATTTTTAAATATTTTTTTGCAAATGAAATATTGTATGTATACAGCATTCCCTAATCTAAATTTCTTAATTTTGTTAAATAAATTTATTTTTACCTGTTCATTTGACCAAATCCATTGACTTTGGTAATTTGGTAATTATGACATTGTTTTCAAGGTGTGATTGGTTTAGTGTATTGTGTTTAGAATACCATGATTTGAACAATTTGTCCAATTTGTCCAAAAAGTCATGTGTGTGTGTGTAAGATCATTATTGTCCGTATTATACCTTGTAGGCCCATAAATGATGACCAGGCTTCATTTCAAAGAAGTTCTTCTAACAACGTTGTTGTTAGTTGTGAAGTCGTGTCCGACCCATCATGACCCAATGGACAACATTCCTCCAGGCCTCCCTGCCCTTTACCATCTTCAAAGATATGTTATTTATCTTATAGAGGCAAATTGTCAAATGATGGGGAAAGATTAACTCATATAATCAGAAGTACATAGATCATAAACATTTTTGCATTAATATATGTGAAATAACCATTTACTTAATACAAACAGGATTTTATTAAGTTACAATACATATTTCCAACTATAGAAATATATATGTGTGTGAAAAAACCTAAAATTATTTCCAATTATGTTAAAATCCTTTGATTTTGTTAAAAACTATGTTTTGAGACCAAAGTCAAGGGCAGGACTTGAATTTCAAAGAAGAAATGGCTTGATACCTGGATATCTAAAGAAGTGCCTTTTCCCATATCATTCATCTCACTGATAAAAGGAACAGTTTAAATAAATGAAACATTGGGGTAGAGTAGATCACATTAGCAGGTGGTCCTTTAACACTTGATGTAATTTGTTTGATCCTTTTCCTTTTTACTAGGAATCTCTAATGAGTTGAGATTGTAAGAGGGATTTTACAGCTATAGCTGTAAAAATTAGCAAATATGTAAATCTAGCACTAGTTTTCATATTATATTACAAGTTCACTTAAATATGACTCATGTATAGCCATCTTTCTTTTGTTAATTACTTACTACTTTAAAACAGATTATGAGATGAGAAAGACAACATGGTACCCCCATTCCTCAGTTATTCATGTGAATGAGCTCTATACAATAAATATCAGGTTCCCCTCCCTCTGAATTTTTCATATTGATAAATGTTGTACCACTTTTTGATTAATAATTGTATTTTACATAGAGTGTATACAAAGGACTAAATGTATGCTGTTTAAAGAGAAGTAACAATGTAGCTGAAAAATCAAGACAGGTAACTGTGTCTTTTAAAGCTTTCCTGTGCTTATATGTGAAATGTAAATAGCAATAGCACTTAGACTTACATACCGCTTTACAGTGCTTTACAGAGTCAGCATATTGCTTCCAACAATTTGGATCCTCATTTTACCCACCTCGGAAGGATGGAAGGCTGAGTCATCAACATGGAAACATTGTAATTAATATATTAAAGTTGTATGCATACTTCTTCTCAAAATGAAGTTACCTTTATTTTCTACCTTTATTTAATATTGCTCCTTTTGAGGCAAAATTGCCATGTGAAATGGCAGCACCTAACTAACCTTTGAGCTCAAAAGCTAAGCAAGTTCAGAACAATCTGGTTAGCTTGGAAAAAATCCTAGAAGGCAGTATCAAATTGTTTCCATATTGTTGCCAAGAAAACTATTTGGAAACATCCATAAAATGATGCGGTGTCATTCTCAAAATGGGCTAGATTTTACTTCTAAAACCAAATTCGCATTACTGATTAACAAGACAATCTCAAAGTTTGTACTACAATTATATTATTTCTACACCTGGGTTTTTTTTTCTTCCCTCCCTAAAAAACTACCTGCATGGATTGTTGTACTAATAAGAGGATTTTCATAATATAAAGAAGATTTAACATCAGGCATTTTCTAGTCTAAAACTGGTCATAACATGCCAAATTACTACATTGCAGTATCCATTTTTCTAAAACAATATAAATTTCACATGTGGACAAACTAGTCTAGTTGGCAAATTTTGCTATAACAATTCAAGAAACTAATATTGCCTTTGTAAGTTTCTCTTGTTCTTCATATATCCCAGTTCTACAAAGAAATTCCTCCTTTTAGATCACAGGTGTTCTGTCATTTGATGTTTCACGACATTTTTTTCCTTCGCAGAGCTTGGGTGGGCGTGGCATGTGTGTGATGCATCCAGCCTGCAGGCTGTCAGTTTGATACCCCTGTTTTAGATGAATACAGTTTAGTTTTTCTTTCATTTATAACTTATCCACCTTTGTTTACAATTGACATACTAGAATATTGATATGATGGAATTTCCTCTTTCCTTCCCTCCCCTTCAACCTTCATGAAAAAGCTTTCAAACACTTGTCTAGATCTTGAAGAATTAGTATTGTTTATAAAGTTAAAACACATGGCTCCTCCATGAAAGAGTAGGTAAACAGAATGAAATATAAGAAAGGAAACAATAAAATATATGGAAATCTTTATGGATGGGTAGTAAGGACAATCAATGGCTTAGCAGTTTTTAGTCACACTTAATCACCAAACTAATATAGCCACTCGCATTTATGACATTAAAAAGTTATTGTATTGGGTGGATTTGTATATGGCAATAAAAAATTACACGTTAAACATGCTGCCATGGTCTAATTCCCAGGCAGTATTTGGTAATGAACCATTATTTATACATTTGAATATTTGATTTTCTAGATTATAGAAAAATCAAAGCAACCACAGTGTGACTAGCAAAATGTTCAGTTTTCTCTGATTGCCTGGATTTCAT